CTCACCCTTTAACTCATGCTACTCACAATCAGTGCAAGATGATCTGTTATTTCAGCCTGCCTTGAGTGAACTCATTGTGGATCTGCCGCCGGTCCTTCGCAGAGTTCACACTACATTCGTTGAACTGTTGAAAGTCTGTATTCGTGAACTCAAACAGTGCTCCACTGTCGAGAAGCAGGTATTTCTAATCGGACTACTTTCAACGTCAACCTTGGACTTGTAAGCTCCCTCATGTTAGTACCGTGGCACCCGTGAAGGAATTAGGGCTCTTGCCCAACTTTTAGGAACTGGCTCATTCAGTAACGACTTGATGGACCACTCTTGAATACTCGTATGGATCATCTAAGAAGCTCATGCGCTTGTTTTTCGGGCAATCAGTCTCATAGATAATGGAATAGGGCCTACCAAAGCCATGAGTAACTTTTTTATCAAGTGGCACCCCCCCCCCTCGCTTTCCTCCGCCGCAGTTCGCCAGCTCCCGATTTGCGTAGAGGGGAACGGAGTGAGGAGGGGCATAAATCAGTGCACTGCAAAAAGTCCCATCAGAAAGTTTGGAAGAAAAATACTCTCAAAAGCAACTTTTGACTGCTCTGAGTTTTAACGTAGTGTGTACAGTCTTGTTCGCTGCGAAAAGGCATTTCACGAGGGCTGGTGGGGCGCCACATCAGCCAGTTTTCCTCGAAATGTGGTCGCCTGCCAGCTTCCATAACTGGTAGTGAACGGGCTCGCGTCGCGCCACCCCCTCCCCCACCCTCCCTGGAACGCCGCCCCAGCGTACTCAGTGAACAAAGCTGTAGGCAGCTATCATAAACCTGCACCCTCCCGTTTCAACTGATGATGATTCTGGCACCTCTCACCTTCACAAGTGAGTTGCTAACGGCTTGCGGAAATCTAATTGAAAGGGAATAGAACCTTTCTCAACACAGAGGGTGTTGAATGTGGTGTCCTTAGGCAACTGCGTTTGGAGCCTTACTCGGACGGATTACTCCGGGCGGAGAAGCAGAGTCACAGCCATAGCGCCTTCACCATGGACGCGTCCTTTCTCTACCCTATTATGACGACGCCTACAAGTTAGGGGGACACAGCGTTTATAAGTCCGTACCCATTAACTACCTTATCCAAATGATTTTTTAAATGTCTTCAAGCGCCGATCCTGTTTCTCTCTAACAGATCAAGTTCCGCTATCCCTTGTTCATGTGGTCCAAAAGATTGTTTTTTTGTTTAGGCAGTGCAAGAGGAAGACACCATACAGATAGCAGTTTATAGGCCAACTCTCCTGGAAAGGCAGTTGACTCAGAGGAGGTACGTCCGCAGCCCCTTAATGTGATTCATTTGCAAGTAGATTGACGTCTTTCACTACCTCGTTCAACGTTTTTAATTATTTGCTTCCAGATCCTTCTTGACGGACAAGCAAAGTCGTCTGTTGGCTGACCTTACCATGCTACGGGAACTATTACAGGTAGCAGAAGACATGGATCCTGCAACTGTACTGAGCCGTATTAACGCCATCAGAAATGATAAAGAGGTTAGCCAGTACCACTCCGCGAGACTAAGCTATTAGGGCGTGCTCCTATTTGGGCCGCTGATGTGTTGGAGAATCCGCGAGAAGGGGAAGGTATCGAGTCAGTTGAAGCCGATCGGCGCGTTTCGAGAGAATCCATTTCTCTCTTGTAACTTGTTTAATAACTAACAAGCTTCTTGCGGGTTCTCCTATTCCCCAACTTGACGCTAGAAGCCATGGCTGGTGCAGTTCGGCTTAGTGGGGGCATACTCAGCGACTCCAGCAATAAATGCGTCTAGCTGTGTACAGACCCACCTTTATATACCTGAAAATATGTGCCCAAGTTTGTTACACTCGCATCAGTTTCTGCAGCTTCAGAGGACGTTAAAAGTAGTGATCCAATTAAGAAAGCTCGACTAATTTAATGTGCTCGTCCAAATCAAACATAAAGAAACTAGCCGAAAAGGAAAAAAATGCCCACCTCTATAGCCGAACCAGAGCATTTGATGCTCCTTATCTGTTACTGTCTTAAGAAATCAAAAATTCTGTACGACTGCGGTTCCAAGTGTTTTCGAGCGTAGTGAACCTGTGTAAATTCACGCAGTGCGCCTTCCGTCACTAATTGTGATACGAAACGTTAGTTGAGCTATGCGAGATATAAACAAGTCACGTCTTTCGCTTGTAAGTAGCATTCTTCTCTGTAGCCTCTGACTTTCTGATTCCGCGCGACATGAAGGCTTTATCGATCAAGCTCCGGATCCGCAATATGGGGAGGGCGAGGAGGAGCATCAACCACTGACAACTGGCGAAAAAATTGTGAAAATTATTACCGACAGGGTGCAAAGCACGACATCTCCCGGGTCGTAGAGGAATGTAAACATGCATTAGGTCAAAAAGAGGGCGGCAGGGGCACGTCCTATTCGCTCGTGAAAATAAGTATTTGCAGAATATAGCCCCTGTTCCCGCTCCCCCCTATTCTACCTAACCGTCTCCCGAACTTCCAACCACTTCGATTCATTATATCACGTCTATCCTCCGTACTTTAAAACTTTACCAACTGTTTTTCGAGAAACAGGTTTTTTTTCGGAATACTGGGTGTCCGGTGGGGTATATAACGTACGGGAAACGAGTACGGCAAACGGGAGAATTGAGAAAAGTCACCAACCGGAAACATGTCCCACAAGTGCAAATACGCCCCAACCCCTCTCTGAAGATCCCCAACGTTCGATAAGCCTTGGAGGACAAATATTGGAATAAGAACTTGATCAGACACACTGATAGTCCAAATGCAGCGTATCAGAAGCAGAAGCTCCACCTTCGTATGTATGACCGTCAGGGGTACCTGATTTTTTGCTTATGTATTAGGTTACAAATGTAGAACACAATTTAGCCCCTCCGAAATGGGAAGTTTTGGCATCGGTGTTGGAGGAAATCAAGAGCATTCCCGTTCGACAGTGTGAAGTCGGTCCAGACGGTAAATAGAACGTTTCCGATGACTGGTCGCAGTTCTAAGATTTGACTGTTCAGGTCCGTCGGTGTTGTTGTTCGTTAATGATGAGGCCGTCGTTCGACAACTGACCGATCTCATCAGGAATGGTCCCGAGTTTCTTCGCTGGATGACAAGGCGTTCGTTAGGTGGTGGAGGTGCCGGGAAAGAGCCTGCACGATCTCCTCTTTGGGAAGTCGATGACGTCATCCCGTTCCAGAGAGGAAACCTGGTTTGTTTGAACTTTCTCGTTTTTATCGTTCTTTTGACCGTATTAACCGTAGTTACAATAATTACCGTTACCATAATTCATGAGGGCCCGTCACGTTTTAAGCTTACTTTCCTTGGCTTGCAATTATTTGCCATTCCTACAGGCATCCGAACCACGTAAAGAGATGATAACGGATCTTCAAAAGAATACGGTTGTAACCGCAAGAGCGTCCAGACGACGTCGAAAGGTAATTTTTCCGTTTTGGTTGCATAAGGGATACCTAGCCACTGCTGCTACTGCCTATGT